TTTTTTTAAAAGAGGTTTTTGCTATAGGGCGTGTGCACTTGCCAGAAAGACAGAGAGAGAGAGAGAGCGAGAGAGAGCAAGAAATCGCTCCCTGGGGGGATGGCCATGCTGCAATCCCTTCTCCTCCATTCTCCTCTAGGGATTCTGGGCAAGCACATGTGCCCGGTGTGGTTTAAGCCACCAGGTCCAGGACTTGAACTGTGGTCGCCCATATGGAGTCCAGCGACATAACCATTATGCCACATGCTGGCCCCAGAAGTTTTCTATATAAAACCTCTCAAAAAAAAAAAAAAAAAAGAAGTTAAAAACAATGTATTTATTTCTTCCATAAGTGAGCAAGAGAGAGACAGACAGACTGTCCTCCCTAATAGGATGCTAATGCCACGATCCTCTTCCATCTGTAGCCAGGTCCAAATCATGGGGAGGCATGTGTGCAGTGTATGGCTGGAGGTGTTCAGACTTGAACTGAGAAACTTCCCATGTGGCATTGCCTCTCAGAGTGCTGTGTTTTACCACTAAACCACTGTCTGGCCTCTATCTACTGACTTTTATCCTTTGCAACTGTGTGTGTGTGTGTGTGTGTGTGTGTGTACAAATGCAAACATGTTTATTTAACACTGACTCTTAAGGAAAAAAAAAACCCGAAAGTTCAGTTATAAACGAAATGAAACATGGGTAGAGACATAGAAGAAAAAAGATAAGCGAGTAAATGAGAAGATTTAGATGCAGCTAATAAGGAAATTTAAATGCACATTTAAAATTTATTTGTTAAACAGATATACTTTAATACAGAGTACCAAACTATGATGAGGCTTTTCAAATATGTCTTCTTGGAACCAGAAATAAAACGTAAGTGTATTTATAACTCTGCACCTAACAGCATAATGAAATAGGCAGAGAGAAACATAGTGCAAATAGTTAAGACAGGAAATTTTGGTTTTTGATAATGGCTGAGAGGAAAATGCTGACTTCATATTGAAATTTAAATTAAATTCTACACATCAACTAAATACAATTTTTCAAACAATTATTTAATTATTATTATTATTTTAAATTTGTTTTGGATACATGCATTCACCAGAGTGAAAGAGGGAATGAGGGAGGGAGGGAGAGAGAGAGAGAGGAAAATGAGAAAGCAAGCTGCCAGGTCTGTGACTTGAACCATAGTCAGCCATGTGGGAGTCCGGTGCTTTAAACAACACACCACCTGCTGGCCCCTAAATATAATTTTTAATAAACTGTAAGAATACAATTGCCATTAAAACATAATATGCCCAGAATATTAAATTTCACATGAACAATCTTTTTTTAGTATAAGTATGTGCCATGTAGGGAAGAAGACACTGCATGGGACATACTTACACTAAAAATTACTTGTTGTTTATATAAAATTCAGCTTAATTGGAAGTTTTGTATTTTTATTTGGTAAATATGATCTCCGTACATAGAGAACCATTAATTGGGTCATCGGAAAAGTCATGCCATATTTCTGCGTAGGAAAACATAAAAATATACTCATGACTTTTCCAACGACCCAATATATATGTTCTAGGTAACCACTTGGAAAT